TTAAACTTACATTTCACAATTTTTTCCATTTCTGCATGTATCTCAGTCCAAAACATTTTTGCTTTGTCACATGTCCACGACATATGATAAAAAGAGCCTTCCATTTTTTTACATTTCCAGCATTTGTTTGACATATTACTATTCATATTTGCAATCTTTTTCAGTGTCATATACCTTCTATACATCATTCCTTTCAACAAATTTCATCACTCGAACCACAAAATAGGACAGGATCTTCCGGGTTCCCATCGAATGTCACCTCGATCAGGTCTTTTGGGCGATGAAGCACAGGACCTCTTGGGCTCGCTGGCCTGGGCACAGGAACCTCGGCTGGGGCGGGTACCAGGCACCGGTGGCGCTTGTTCGGCCAGTGGCACCTGGGGGGGAAGAAGAGGGGCCGGGACTGGTTGCTGCTCCACTTATTCCGCTTGCAGCGCCTGCACAACCATCCTCGGGATAGCCATGATCACCTCCTTGAATCCCCACCGGAGTTGTTGCCATTCACGCTCTACGGCCTCTAACCACTGCACCAGAGTTGTGTCCTCCGGTCGCGGCTCCAGACGTTAGCCCATACAGCTGGAAGCAAGCTTCAGATTTGAACCCCATCTCAAACCAGCTGTCTCTCTGGGGTCCCTTCGTGAGAGCCCAAGTTTCCTCTGTTGGATCCGGGTTGAACTGGCCCCACTGCAACGACCTGGGCTGATACGATTGCCCTCTTGGTTGTCTCGGCCCCGAAGGTGTCGTAAACAGATGTATTCACACCGACTTCAGTGCTGCCCCGAGACTCTGCGTCACTGGCAGGGTGGATGTCACTGGCACCTCCATCTGGTCTCACTCCCAGTGGTTGTGGGGACGGTTTTCTCCTCTTCTTCGCTCATCTCAGCGGGAGAGATGCGTGAAGGAGGGAAAGGTAGATTCCTAACAGAATGTCAGGATCCACAGGCAATCACTTTAGCACACACTTCCAAGAAGGTTTTACTTTATTGTGAGAACTATGGTAGCGTAAACATATTCACTGTTAGGAATAACTAATACTAAGCAAGCAGGTATAGATATAGTACACTCAAAAGGCCCCCCCCCCATCAGTGGGCCAATTGGGCACTCCCCCGCAGGCGGGAAGAACCGTTGGAGTGTAGGTGAGGAAACCAGTCCCACTGTTGAAATATGGGAAGAGACTACACGAGCAAGCTACAAGGTCAGTGATAAGGAGTAGAGGCGCCAAGGGGAATGGAATGCGGGCCTGGCTGGTACACAGGTCCAGCACGTGAACTGAAACCTATAAACCTAATGGCAGCGTAGCTGACAAATTGTCACTATGTACAGTTATCCGAATAGGGGTCTGCACATCCAGCAAATTGCTCCTTTGTTTCTGTGGCATGTAGAGTGGCCTACCCTTTCAAAGCCATTCTCATCCCCCTTACACAGAGGAAGCAAAGGGAGGACAACACAAATATAGGTCTGCAGCCGTTTGGCAGCAGTGTCATCTGCATGCATAATGACGGTTGTAATGAATGAGGACAGTGTTTGACAGATATGGTGAGCGTGGAAAGCAGCCGGTGCCTCACTCAAGGCTACGGAATGACCTGGTCATATCGAAGTAGGAAGGTGAAGCCATCATTAGGGAGGGGCTGTGGCTCCGTGGTAGAGCATCTGCGTGGCATGCAGAAGGCTCAATCCGTGGTGTTTCCCATTAAAAGGACCAGGCAGTAAGTGATGTGAAAGACCTCTGCCTGACACCCTGGGGAGCCTCTGCCAGTTTGAGTAGACGATGCTGACTTTGACGGGCCAAGGGTCTGATTCATTATAAGGCAGTTTCAGGTGTTCGTCCTTGCCTGGTCCAGGGCTTTCTGCCAGATAAATCATTCTCCTTCGGAGAAAGTCAAATTAACTCTTCCTGCCCTAATTGTGAATTCAGATCTCACCTTCCTATTTCATACCTAAACTGAACAGTGATGATGGGTAGAATCATTCATGGGGTTTTTACCTGACAGCACCCTTAACAGGTTTTTAGGAGGAAATGTGTCAGATAGTTGCTGTCAATCACATGAGGATATTATTGAACTTGGAAAGAACCTGCGAGGGAGGGAAAGGGGAAGGAACTGCTGTTGCTGCACAGGAAGAGATGGTTGAGCAACATTTTAAACTCCGCATATAGTATGCTCCCTGAGCATGTCCTATGAAAAGAACCGTAAGTCAGTTGGTGGCTAGTGCAGGGACTGTGAACCAGGAAGTCTCTGGTTTAAATCGCACATCATGTTATAATGTCTCATTCTTTTACCTTTGTAACCTACGGTATATTTAAGATCCTATTCTGACCCTTGGCCCCACAGGTTTTCCCCCCAAAATGCATTTCTGTGCACAAAAGAATTGCAGTCTGAAAATGTATGATAACGTAATATCCTGGCCCCTCTACTTTTTAACTTCTACATCAACTCCGTGGTGCAACACCTACAAATCCAAGCTTCCATTCTCCAGAGCTTACCGATAAAACAATCCCTGCCTTACTATATGCAGATGATCATACTGCCCTGAGCCCGTTCACGGGGAGGGCGGGTTATAAATTTAAATAAATAAATAAGTACTGTTATCCCATTCACAAGTGGGCTTTAGGAGATTGTGCCATGCCTTCACTGCATACTGTAAAGAGGAGCAGCTTTTGATTAACTACCAAAAAAAGTTCTCATCTGTACCAAAAAAGTTGAAACCACAGATGGCAAACTTCTAGAACTACAGTCTGAACAGGAAAGATGAGAGATAGGATAGTATTCTAGTCTAACTAAGGATGAACTCAGTGAGTTAACATGCAACTGTGACACCACATGGTTTTAACAGGTGGGGTGTGTCTTTGGTGCCACTCAAGCAAACTACATGGCTCCTTGCCACTGTTCTTCAAAGCTCAAAGGACTTGTTGCCTTTCCCATGCCAGCATTCTCTCCCCCGAACTTCTCTCCCTTTCCTCCTGCATGGACCAAAAGGGAGGACACGCTGTCCTCATCTTGGCATCATGACTCAGAAGGCCTCCCACCATCTGAGTTCATCCTTAGTTAGTTAGACTAGAATACTATCCTACCCCTCATCTTTCCTATTCAGACTGTAGTTCTAGAATAGAGACTAGAATAGATTCTTTTGAATTATGGTGCTGGAGAAGACTCTTGAGAGTCCCTTGGAATGCAAGGAGATCAAATCAGTCAATCCTAAAAGAAATCAACCCTGACTGTTCCCTGGAAGACCAGATAATGAAACTGAAGCTCAAATACTTTGGCCACCAAATGAGAAGGGGGCACTCCCTGGAGAAGACCCTGATGCTGGGAAAGATTGAAGGTCAAAGAAGAAGGGGACGGCAAAGGATGAGATGGTTAGACAGTGTTGAGGCAACGAACATGAAATTAAGCGAATTCCAGAGGACGATGGAAGACAGGAGGGCCTGGCATGATGTGGTCCATGGGGTCACGAAGATTCAGACTCGACTGTGCGACTGAACAACAACAACAACAACAATTAGTCTTTTAAACTGAAAACTTGCCTTCTGAGTCATGGTGCCAAGATGAGGACAGCGTGTCCCCCATTTTGGTCGGTGCAGGAGGAAGGGGAGAGAAGTTCTGGGGGACAGACTGAGAGGAAGGAAGGAAGGAAGGAAGGAAGGAAGGAAGGAAGGAAGGAAGGAAGTTGTCCATCAGAGCACAATCTACATTTCAAAGGGGACAGTGGCAGAAGGGTAAGCACAGGAAGAAAACATAGGGATTGCCTCTCTGGCTATCTGACTCTCTTGCCACAAAGTCTGGAGGCTGAGGCGGGGGACACACAATAGCAGTCTATCTGGAGATGGTAGGGATCCCAAGTCACCCCGGGGGGCGGGGATCCCCGGCGCCGCCGGATCGGGCCCCGGGGGGAACTCCTCCCCGACGTGCGCGTCACCCAGAAGTGACGCGGGCACGCTGGGCACGCTGGGGGCGGGGCCACGGCCACACAAGGGAAAACTCTATGGTTTTCCCTTGTATGGTCGTGGCCCCGCCCCCAGCGTGCCCGGCATCATAACGTCACTTCCTGGTGACATGTGCACGGTGTGCGCGCGCGCTCCGGGATCCACCCAGGAGTCCCCCGCCGCCAAGGTAAGTTCCACTTGGCAACCCTAGGAGATAGGCTTTGAGCTGGTGTGGTTCTCAGTTGTACTTCCCAGGTCTGAACATTTGCCATATGGCCATTACAAAGAAGGAGGGAAGGAGAAATTGGTCTTGCTTGGACAAATTAAAGCTAGGATTTCCCACTCCAGGTTGGGAAATTCCTAGCGATTTGGGGGGTGGATTCTGGGGAGGGTGGGATTTGGGGAAAGAGATCCCACCAGGGTATAATGCCTTAGAGTCCACCCTCCAGAGCAGTCATTTTCTCCAGGGAATTTTATCCCTGTAGCCTGGAGATCAGATGTAATTCTGGGAGATCTCCTGACCCCACCTGCAGGTTGGCAACCCTATTTATATCAAATTTTTGATGTAGCCTGTACATTTGGAGACTTGGGCAATACCTCCTTTTTTTAATTGGGCAATACCTTCTTCATGTCTATTTCTGTTCCAGAAATGGGTACCTCCCTAACATGTTCACATTGGAGTGATTGCACATAATTGTAGCACAACGAAACTGATTTGGCAACAAGGCACCACCCCTTTGAAAGGATGACCCTCAATTATGGCTTTTCTCCAGTGTGCCTTAGTCACTTCGTCCCTGGTCACTGCCAAATTCACACTACGAACACAAATCTTGAGTCATGAGGAGAAAGGGAAATTCGGCTGAGGCAGTCCTACCAGTATAGTTTATATTTTTAAAAAGATCTTTAGAAAGTGAAATTCAGGAAAAGGGGAGGCTAAACTGCAGCCTGGAGGAGGAGGAGTCAGAATCGGACAGCAAAGACAGGCCTGACAAGAAGTTTACAGAGGGTGCTCTCTTTGAAAAAACCGATTCACCTCAGCCAGCCTGCGTTGCACTACTTCCTTTGTCACAGAGGTCTGTTTCGGTTATTAGCGAAGTGGGGACACTTCCTGGTATTTGCAACATTCAAAAGCTGTCAGGGGATTTGCAGAACTGCAACCACGCAGGGCCCATCGGCTGAATGCTCAAGGGGAAGACGCTCTGAGACCAGAGCAGTATTGGCAAGGAAATCTGGTTTGTCCCTGAATTACGATGTCTCTCGCTGAAACAATCCGTCTCTGGAATGAGGGAGTGTCTGCAGCCGATGGCAAAGACTGGGCAGCCGCTTTGGAGGCTTTCTCTTCCATCCAGAATCCTTCTTCCAAAATCTGCTTTAACATCGGCTGCATCCACCTGATCATGGGGAATTTGCCGGAGGCACAGCAGGTGAGTGCGTGAATGCTAACATTCTTGGCTGATCTTGGCTGGACAGGTAGGTTGCTGGGGCTGGAGCCGGGGAGCTCTCGATGCAACATTTTTAGGTTCACGGTGAACTGGGGTCGATTTAAATGGAAGGCGATCAGCCCTAGCTATGCTGAAAACAACGTGGGTAGCATTTTTACGCTTTAAATAAAATGATGTGGTGTACTGAACTGGTAGAATTTTGGGCTGCACCGCTACAGCAAGGGTATACAGTGGCTCTTTGACATGCCATTTCTGGCTCTTCTGAGCACTGTACCCCAGTGTGGCAGACAAGGCCCTTGTGCCTGGCAGGTGTATTCCATCTCGAAGCAGCTACCACCAGAAGAACAGGTAATGTATGAGCCTCCCTGAGGTGCAGACGTCATGCCAGAGATAGGAACTCACAGGTATACAAGGTATAGGTAGGAACTCTTAGTCTGGGGCAAGCGATGTTCTGTATTCTTGGTGCTTGGGGGGGGGAAACGTGGGAGGGCTTCTAGTGTCCTGGCCCCACTGCTGGACCTCCTGATGGCACCTGGTATTTTTGGCCGCTGTGTGACAGAGTGTTGGACTGGATGGGCCAGTGGCCTGATCCAACATTGGCTGATCTTATGCTCTTATTAAATGTGGCTCTTTTGGGTGATGGCAATTGCAAATGTGGCTGTCAGTGAGCCACAGAGCCTGTACTACTGCACCGCAGCCTCTAAATGGGGTATCCTGTTTCTGAATGTTCCCGACGTTTTAAAGAAAACACCCTCCCTGCATGTGGTAGAACAGCAAATCAGGATGAAACAATTAGCGTAGCCCTTTCCCTGATGCACTAGTTGACTCCACGCAGTGAACATATCGTCAGGCCTACCTGCAGTATGAAGTGATGCAGATTAGAGTTCTCCTACTCCAGTCTACCCATCTTGAAACGTTAGACTGAGTGGAAGAATTCTGCATCCTACCCCTCTGAACTGGTGTAGAATAGCTGTCAGCACACAAGCACCTGATACACAAACACATAAATGGACCCTGTCTTTGGCCACTACAGTTGCCCTGAATTAGCCAAGCACAAAGGGCTAAGTGCAGTGTTTGCTTATCATTCAGTAGAAGCTGATCTATGAGATGAAAGGCAGTACAAGACCCCCACAAGCCCAAATGGCGAAAGTGAGTTGGTGTAGGGGCTGAAGAGTAGGACCCATCATAAGCGAGGACACAGTGTGAATTCATGGCATTAAGTAAGATGCCACAGACTCAAACTGAGCAGAGAGGGTGACCCAGACTTGTTAGCCAAAGCAATTGTGTGGGGTTGCCAACTGAAGGATTGTTTGGGTTAGCAGAGTGCTCAAGGCACATAATGCAGCAGACTCTATTCAGTTTGTGTGTGCTGACAAGAAACAAAGTTACACACGGAGCCTCTTTATCTTTGCAAATTAATATGAGTCCTTTCTTTTAAAGAACTCTGTTCTAGACAGGATAGAGTAGAGACAGTGTTCCAATCTAGTCTAACTAATTAGGATGGATAGGGATGCAGGAAGTGTGTCCAGCCCTCATGGTGCCAAGATGGAGAAGGGTAGCACAGTAGGGCTGTCAAATGTGGGTGGGGGGCGGGGAATCCCCCGCTTTGAAGCCCCGATTTCCGACGTGGCTGAATTGGGGCCCGGGGGAACCCCGCCCCCAGCGTGCGTGTCACTAGCAAGTGTCACTAGCTATGGTTTTTCCTTGTATGGCCGTGGCCCCGCCCCCAGCATGCCCACGTCACTTCCGGGTGATGTGCACGCAGCGCCTCCCCCCAATGCCGGCCGGGAGCCCCCCGCTCCCGGCGAAGACGGATTTGGCAACCCTATAGCACAGTGTGGAGAGAAGGTGTCAGGCCCAAAGGAGGGAAGATTTCCTGAGAGTAGCAATCTACACATCAGAGCAGTAGAAAGGAAATGATGATCAGGGACCTGGCCTATCTCTCTCTCTGACTTTCTCATAGTCTGAAGTCTGAGGCTAAGAGACAACACAAAGTTCTTCACTTCCAACACCAACTTTGTCAAATATACTACTCTCTGAATGGAATTGGGGGGGGGGGTTACATCCAGAACAGGCAGAGCCAAGGCACTGTCTGGAGGGTCCTGGGCAGAGTCTGGGCCCAATCTAGCCAATTCGTACCTTTAGCGGTGAGATCAGGGCAAACTCCAGCAGACTGTGGGCAAAGCATGGCATAATCTGGTGTTAACTGACTTTGTAGACCCCATTCAGGTGGGGTAGCCGTGTCGGTCTGAAGCAGCAGAACAAAGTTTGAGTCCAGTGGGGCACCTTTAAGGCCGACAAAGTTTTATTCCGGGTAGAAGCTTTCGTGTGCATGTCCTTTTTAGACCCCAGTGAAGGTTACCAGACAAAACATGGTTTCAGACTTGTGAAGCTGCCTTACTGAGTCAGAGACTTGGACCGATTTCCCACAGCCGCTGCTCTGCGCTCGCTCCTCTCTTTGCCCCGATGGTACGTGTCAATTTCCCACTGGAAGCCACGCGGCTGCATTTTGACCCGCGGCTTCGCCCTATTTTTGCCCTCGGTTTCGTGATCCTCAAAAAAAAAGGATCACAAAACCGCGGGGGGAATTGGGCGAAGCCGCAGGTCAAAATGTGGCTGTGTGGCTTCCAGTGGCAAATTGACATGTACCATCGGGGCAAAGAGAGGACCGAGCGCAGAGCAGCGGCTGTGGGAAATCGGTCTTGGTCTATTGATGTCAGTATTACTTACTCTGACTGGCAGCAGCTCTCTGGCTAAAGGTCTTTCACATCACCTACTAGCTGATCCTTTTAACTAGAGATGGTGGGGATTGAATTCAGGACCTTCGGCATCAAAGCAGATGTTCCACCCAGAGCCAACGTCTCCATTAGGCACAGTAGGCTCAGTGCCTGGGGCACACATACTTTTTAAAAGGTAAAAGTTTCCTTTGCTCGAAAACCAGTTGAATCTGACTCTAGGGGGCAGTGCTCATCTCTGTTTCCAAGCCGAAGAGCTAGCACTATCCGAAGACTTCTCCGTGGTCATGTGACAGGCATGACTGGATGCCGAGGCGCACGGAACGCTGTTACCTTCCCACTGGAGCGGTACCTATTAATCTACTTGCAATTTCTTGCTTTCGAACTGCTAGGTTGGCAGGAGCTGGGGCCAGAGACGGGAGCTCACTCCATCACACAGCACTAGGGTCTCGAACTGCTGAACTACCGACCTTCTGGTCTGCAGCTCAGCGTCTGAACTTCTGAGCCACTGCGGCCCACACATACTTTTAGGGGCCAACAAAATATTTTGATTTCCTTTAAAATCAGAAGGGGAAAAATAAATTGTAACGTTTATTGTAAAATGTTTTAATTTTTTCTCACATCAGGAAAAAAATAATGAAATTTTAGAGCCCACAAAAACCTACTATTGTTGCTGTTGCCTACAGGCCTTCACCAGGAGCACTAACTGTGACAGACACCTAGCTGTGGCCTACTTCCAGCGAGGGACTGTGACCTACAGGATGGAGGAGTGAGTTTGTAACACATGGATGGGGAGGGGAAAGTTTGCTCTTCGTAAAATCTTTATGCAGGTGGTGGCTGGTAGGGTTGGCAAATATGTTTTGGCCGGGAGCGGGGGGCAACAAAGAGTTTTCCCCTCAAATGGCGTGGCCCCGCCCCCAGCGTGCTACGTCACTTCCGGGTGACGCGCACGCGGGGGTGGGGTTTTCCCCGGGCCCCGATTCCGCGGGAGTGGAAAGCGGGGCTCAAAAGCGGGGAGGGGGGGGAAATCCGCCCCCCGGGGGCATTTGGCAGCCCTAGTGGCTGGAGATCTCTTGGGATTACAACTGGTCTCCAGGCAACACCTGGAGAAAATGGCTGCTTTGGAAGGGGGACTCTGTGGCGATATACCCCACTGAAGTCCCTCCCCTCCCCAAACCTCAGCCTTCTCAGGATCCATCCCCAAACTCTCCAGGTATTTCCCAACCTAGAGCTGCCTGAAGAAAAAAACAAGGCAAGAAGTTTTGAACCAGACGTAAGGAAGGGGTTGGAGTTAATCACATAGTATGAAATGACACAGGGTTGGATCCTATGACTCCCTCTCACTAAGCTGTATCATATGATTTCCTTTCACCAAGTCTTCATCCAACAGAGAAGGACTTCCTTCAGCAAAGACAGACTTTTCTTCATCAGAGGAAACTTTTCCTTAACAGAAAAAGTCATTCTCCATTGGAGGAAGTCTTTCTCTCTTGGAAGATGACTTAACAGAATGTGTCATAGGATCCAGCACATAAACTGGCAGCAGATTTACTCTTTTTCTATTCTTGAATAAATCAGTTTGGTGTAGTGGTTAAGTGCGCGGACTCTAATCTGGGAGAACCGGGTTTGATTCGCCACTCCTCCACTCGCAGCTGTTGGATGACCTTGGGCAAGCCATAGTTCTGTCAGAGCTGTTCTTGAAAGAGCAGTTCTTGAAAGAGCTCTCTCAGCTCCACCTACCTCACAGGGTATCTGTTGTGGGGAGGGGAAGGGAAAGGAGTTTGTAAGCCGCTCTGAGATGCTGAGTGAAGGGTGGCATATAAATCCAATCTCTTCCTCCTCCTATTATTATTGTTGCTGTTGTTATTGGTGTTAGAACAATGGAATCTGACATAACAAAGATGTTACTATAGCTTATGATGTTACTTGGGCCAGCCACTTTCTACTTAATCAACAAGAAGAGCTGTATGTACACAGTATTCATAACAAAGCTGTGTCAGAATAGCCCATATCCTGCACCTTTGGGAGCTGAATACTGTGACATATTTAATTTATTTATTTCAAATGTTTTTATGCCGCCTTTTCACCCCATCAAGGTCCACAAAGCAGCAAACCTACCTGACCACCACAGTCCTCTTTGGAGGCACTGCTTCAGGTACCCCCACCTTCTGAGATTAGGTGGGTGTCAACTCAGGAGAGGGTTCTCAGTCATGGCCCCAAATCTCTGGAACTTTCTCCCCAGGGAGATTTCTTTGTCCCCTTCTTAACCAATGTTTTGTGTTTGTTTAAACTGTTTTGTAAGTAACTGTTTAAAAACCCTGTTTTTAAACTCATTAAAACAACTTTTAAAAGAGTTATGTTTGGGACAGGGGCTGGTTTTAATTGTTTTATAATGTATTTTATCACATATATTTTAAATCGTTAGCTGCCTTGGCGGCTTTTGTAAGACAGTAAGATGGCATACAGTCCTTTTTCCACCTTTGGTGGACTTGCCCATTCATAACGCAGTTTTGGTCCAGAATTCTGGCAGAAATTAAACATATTACAGACTTTTCGGTTCCTTTTTTACCTACTGTTGTTTTACTGGATTTATGGGAAAATATTCGAATCCCTAAACACCAACAAGACTTAATATCTACACTGTTGACAGCAGCAAAAATGAACCTTGCATCTAAGTGGAAATCATCAAAGACCCCTACCCTACATGACTGGTATAACAAGTCATGGGAATATTTTGTTTTCGATAAAATAACCGTAGAATTAGATCATCCTGAGGTTGAGCGTCGCAAACTTAGTTTTGTTAAGAAATTGTCACCTTTTGTTCAAAAAATAATAGGCCACACGAATTTTTCTACAATTGATATATCACACCAACCTGATGCCTTTTTGCTAGTTACCAGTTAGCCTTAATAAGTGTGATCTCCAGTTTTCAGTTTAATGCACTGCGCTATTTGTATTTCATAATAGTTATTTCTCCCACATCTTTATGTATTCGGTACATGTTCTAGATGTTTGTATGTTTTTATGTATATATGATGTAACTCTCTGACAGTTTCTTAAATAAAGTTTTTTTTAAAAAAGATGGCATACAAATTTTGTAAATGAGTGAGAAATAAAATAAATAAGGACTAGATTCTGAAAGAGGGAAGGCTAAGGTTCTCAAGATAGTGAATTCTACACCCAGTATCAAATTCTATTTGTTTTCTGCATTTGCACAGAAGTGCAGAAAATGAACATCCATACCCATAGTATCCCTCTTGACTGATTTCTAAAGATTGCTAGCAATTCCTGATGGCTCCAAAAAGAGCTCTATCTTGATAAAGGATGATAAAAGGAAGAAATCAGTATTTTGAGGCCTAGCATCTGCATAACCATCGCAGAAAGTCTAGGAATGTCAAGTCTGAGAAAGACTTGAGAGGGACTTTGGAGAGGGGCTGTGGCTCAGTAGAAGTGCATGCAAGAAGGTGCCAGGTTCAATCCCTACTTTGCTTTGCATGCAGAAGGTCCCATGTTTAATCCCTGGCATCACCAGCTAAAAGGACCAGGCGGTATGTGATGTGAAAGACCTCTGCCTGAGGTCCTGGAAGCTGCTGCCAGTCTGAGTAGACAATACTATGATGGACCAAGGGTCTAATTCACTATAAGGCAGATTCATGTGTTCATGAGTAGGCTTGCCACCTGCTCTGTGGAGGTGGGAAATTCCCCACCCCAAGCAGCAGCAGCAGGAGAAAAAAAATACCTGGCAGGCTGACATTGTGATATCATTTCTAGGGAAAACCCAGAAGTGATGCCAGTCCTCTCTAGGAATCATAAAAAACTCTATGGCTTTACCATAGAGTTCCCAGTGACTCCTAGAGAGGCATGACATCATTTTCAGTTTCCCCCTGGCAGTTGTGTGTCATGCTGTCACCAACACACTTCCCTGATCTCCTGCTCTAGGCATGTTGAATCTAGAGCAAAAGTCTGCTAGGTCTCTATTCTGCCTGGCTCAAAAGCACTTATTAATGTCTCTTGCTTTCCAGTTATCAGTCAGCCATCAATGAGTTTAAAGGGGCTTTGTCTCAGCTACGTGGAAACAGCCTAATCGATTACAAGATCCTGGGACTCCGTTTTAAGCTGCTTGCTTGTGAAGTAAGTTCTGAGCTCGCTGAAAAAAGCTAGGAGCAGTTAACCAAAAGCAGAAGATGGTGAGAAATGAGGTTGTAACTCAATGCCACCCATCCCAAAGAGGTTGAAAAGTGGCCACAGGGTTGGTTTAGTGGATGATCTGTGTTCCAGACACATTTTTATCTTGCTATCCCTCTGAGGAGCTCAGGATGGTGTAGAAGATAGTTTACCCTTCTTCCATTTTATCTTCACTGATTTGATTCCCCATTCCTCCACATGCAGCCATCTGGGTGACCTTGGGTCAGTTCTAGGTCTCTCAGAGCTCTCTCAGCCGCACCTCCCTCAAAGGGTGCCTGTTGTAGGGAGAGGAAGGGAAGGAGATTGTAAGCCGCTCTGAGACTCCTTAGGGCAGAAAAAAGCGGGGCATAAAAACTAACTCTTCTTCTAAACCATGACACAACACGGGTTCCAACCATGTACTGTATCCTGCCATTCCTCCAATGAGCTCAAGTTCCCGTTTTGCCTTTACAACAAGCCTTGGAGGTAGGTTAAGCAAAGAGAAGGTCTAGCCTAAAATCATTCTGCAAATTTCATGGATACAAACCAAGATCTTCCCAGTCCAAAACCAGCCCTCTAATCACAACCTCATACTAGCATTCCATGTGCATAAAATGGTAATTTTGATTAACTGACTCTCCTGCTTTTGGTCTGGTAGGTGTTATACAATATAGCTCTTGCCCATGCTAAGCTGGAAGACTGGAAGAAAGCTGAAGAGCATTTAACAATGGCAATGAAAATGAAGACGGAGCCACGGCACAACAAAATAGACAGGGCCATGGAATCCATCCTGGTAAGAAAACATAGGAAAGGCTGGAAAATTAATCCAGGCTCGTACCTCTGGGGAATACGCAGGTGTTCTGTATTTTAGAGCAGTTGCGTTAAGGAATAGAAATAGAAAATAGAAAACAGAGAGTGAGTATAAATGGGCAGTTCTCTCAGTGGAGGGGGGTAAGCAGTGGGGGGTACCGCAGGGGTACTTGGTCCACTGCTTTTTAATTTGTTCATTAATGATTTGGAGTTGGGAGTAAGCAGTGAAGTGGCTAAATTTGCGGATGATACGAAGTTGTTCAGGGTGGTGAAAACCAGTGAGGCACTCCAAAGGGATCTGTCAAAGATGGGCAAGTGGGTGTCAACATGGCAAATGGGGTTCAATGTGGCCAAGAGCAAGGTGATGCACATTGGAGCCAAAAATCCTAAATATAAATACACGTTGATGGGGTCTGAACTGGCAGAGACTGATCAAGAGAGAGATCTTGGAGTTGTAGTAGATAACTCACTGAAAATGTCGAGACAGTGTGTGACTGCAATAAAGAAGGCCAATGCTATGCTGGGGATTATTAGGAAGGGTATTGTAAACAGATCAGCCAATATCATAATGCCCCTATATAAATCAATGGTGCGACCTCATCTGGAATACTGTGTGCAGTTCTGGTCACCACACCTTAAAAAGGATATTATAGCTTTGGAAAAAGTGCAGAAAAGGGCAACTCAAATGATAAAAGGGTTGGAACACTTTCCCTATGAGGAAAGGTTAAGGCGCTTAGGGATCTTTAACTTGGAGAAACGACGACTGAGGGGTGACATGACTGAGGTTTACAAGATTATGCATGGGAAAGAACAGGTAGAGAAAGAAGTACTTTTCTCCCTTTCTCACAATACAAGAACCCGTGGGCACTCCATGAAATTGCTGAGCGGTCGGGTTAGAACGGATAAAAGGAAGTACTTCTTCACCCAAAGAGTGATTAACACTTGGAATTCACTGCCACAGGAAGTGGTGGCGGCTACAAGCATGGACAGCTTCAAAAGGGAATTAGATAAGCATATGGAGCAGAGGTCCATCAGTGGCTATTAGCCACAAGGTATAGATAGGGACTCTGGGGCAAGTGATGCTCTGTCATCTTGGTGCTTGGGGGGGTCAACAGTGGGATGGCTTCTAATGTCCTGGCCCCACTGGTGGA